AGATGGGTAGAGGCCTAAGCAGCCTCAAGCCCAACTCACCACCAGCACCTGCTTTCATTTGCTCTCATTATGTCTGCAGTGCTCAACAGCAGCACAATGGAGCAGGAGAGAGTCCGCAGCACTCAAACTACAACAAGGTCAATTCTCCCTCTCAGTGAAACATCCACATTTGATGGGATTATTTTTTCCCACCAAAAATCATAAATACTGCTCAGTTTATATGAATTTTTCAATGACCTATGCTAATAGTGATAGCTAGAGAGCATAGTTGCCAATGGCTAATATAATACCAATTATTGAGATTTATTTTTGTATTTTTTTGCCAAATTTTTCTTATTGCAATTATGTAATCATTGCTTTAATGTGTTCATTGTTTTTGCTTAAATGCATATGTTATGTTAACTAACTGCATGATTTGTACCCTCTTAAAACTGTACATGTATGCCAAATGGGCATTACTTTGACACAGCCACCTCTGATAATAGATCAATATTACTTGTAATGTAGAAACATACATTTTCTGTGAAGCTGCTTTGAAACAATATGCGTTGTGAAAAGCTCTTTACAAACAGATTCATTATTATTATATTGTCATTAGTTTTTAAAAGTAAGCAATAAATGTAAGTTTCTGAGAAAAAAGGTATTTTAATTTAAACAAATATGAAAATATTTTTTAAAAAAGGTGGAAAAAGGCCAAAAATAAATGTATAAAAGTTTTGTTTAACTTCAAGATATCATGACAAAAATGTATTACTATCATACAGTGGAATGTACTTTTCGAAGTAATAACAATAATAAAAAATAAATAAAACAGTTTATTAAAACATAATTTTTTAAGGAATATCACAAATTTTCTTCCATGTTTTAATATAAGCTGTAAACTGTTTTAGAGTACTTTGCCATAAACTGCAAGGAACTGTTCAAATTTCATTTAAAGGGGTCATATGATGCTATTTGAAAGATCATTATTTGGTGTAACAGAATATGTTGACATGCTTTAATGTTCAAAAAACACATTCTTTTTCAAATACTGTACATTATTGTAGGTCCTCTATGCCCCACCTCTCTCAAACGTGTCGTTTTCAACAAAGCCCCCTCCTTTGACAAGCGCAGTCTGCTCTGATTGGCCAGCTGACCCAGTGCATTGTGATTGGCTGAACCCCATAAGCACGCGTGGGAAAGGTAACGCCCCTTACCATAATCGCTTCAGCTTTCAAAGTAAATATCAAGACAGTTAATAATGTCGTTAGTTTTACCATCAGTTCAAGCCCGAAAAGTGCAACAGAGTCGCGTGACAGACACGGTGATGATGCAGTGCACGTTACTCTGCGCTGCGCAAAACTCCGCATTTGAACAGTCAATAGCAAATACTTAAACTAATAACAAAACATACATACAGTCGCTGATTCAGAAGCGCCAGATTGTCATAGCAAAGTCGGAATTGACCCTTTTGTTTTTTTAGAAATAGCCTTTGTGCACAGCCAACCTTGTGCTCTTCTAGGTTCAAAAAACTGTCGTCCATAAAAATTCGAACATCTGGGTTGTGCTGTTCTGTTGTAAATAAATCTTAACCAATGATTCCTAATTGCATCTACTTCCGGAAGGCCAAATAAAGTGCTTTTGCTTTCCCGCTGAATCACAGCGTCTCCCTGACATGGCTGCATCAACACGACTGCTGTTCCTGAAACCACGCCTTCTTTCTTTGCATGCACATTTGGGCGGCTTTATACTAATATTTCCACATAGTGATGTAGATATGTGGGGGCGTGTTAGAATGAGCCGTTTTAGGTAGGCGTGGTTGACTCTTAACTTTTATAAAGAATATCTCTTTGGATTTGAGACTTTAGTCTTTGCAACTTTACAGATCTTCTTTATGCACCGAGAGCTTGTAACACTCCAAAGAGAAAGGAAAACTTGAAATCGCATCATATGACCCCTTTAATTACATTTTTAAAGATTAATTAAATGGTTAACGTTTTATGCATTCATTTGATTACCACAATTTTTTTAATTTAATTTAAACCTTAAAAGAATCCAGAAAAATAAAAACAGACCAAAACTTGAGAGGGCAGAATGCAGTTATTTAATTACAGCATGACATGGCTCGTTGAATTTTTAGGAATTTTTCAGACGCAATGCTACGCTTAGCAACTGACCTTCACTTCCAGTTTCCTTGTGAGTCAGTCAGTGCCGCATTTCAGTGTAGACAGTGATGGAGTGGCTCTTGTTTGGCCCTGGCCCTGGCCCTGGATTCAACAGTACCATAAAACATGGCGTAAGCCTGGCGGAAAAAACTCTGACTGATTCATTGCTTTTACAGTCCCATAAACTCTTGCCTCATCTGTCAGAAAGTGACAAGGCTGCCACCGCAAGTTCACTAACCATTTTTTGCTGATGCAGCCATGGATTTGGACCCCGTGATGAGTCACGCCAGCTTGAAAGGTGATGGCTAAATGCCTGATAGTCTGATACATCAGCATTTGTTCAGCTATTCAAGGCCCGTTGCCTGCCAGCCAGAGTTCAGTGGTTCAAAATTGTTGTTCTCCTCTGAGGCTTGTGCAGTTACTAAACATTTAGTGGACACTTTTATCCATTGCCACTTATAGTGCACTTATTACAGGAGCAAGTCCTTCTGGAGAAACCTGAAAGTAAGTGCCTTACTCAAAAGACACAATGGTGATAATTCATGATTTGCTTTTTGTTGGAATCAAAGCAGTTATCTTACTGTTACCAGAAAGCTGGTATCCACATGTTATATGAAAATTGTCATGATCATAAAAATAGCATAAACGATTACAACTAATCATGAGAGCATTCATATGTTTGAATAGCAATTCTAAGGTCAACATGAAACAGCGTTTGCAACTTTTTTTTAACTTCTGTAATGGGATGTTTTTCCATATGAAACGGGGTATTCAATGAAGAAAGGGGCAGTCTGCAACTTGATATTATGCATTACATCATGAAAAGTGGTCAATATGTTCACTATATAAGATGGATAAAGGTAAAAGGTAAAATGAGTTTTTACATTTTGATTGTAAAGGCATGTCACTATTAAAAAAATTGAATAATTGTTTTTTTATATTTTATATTTTCTTATGCTCATCAAGGGTGCATTTAATTGATGAAGAAATACAGTAAAAACAGTAATATTGTGAAATATTATTACAATTTAAAAGAACTATTTTCTATTTTAATATATTTTAAAATGTAATTTATTTTTATGTTGGCAAAGCAAAATTTTCAGCAGCAATTAATTTAGTCTTTAGTGTCACATAATCTTTCCGAAATCTTTCTTATTAGGGGTGGGTAATACGACCAGAGTCTTATTTCATGAGATGAGAAATTTTATTTCAAATTAACGATATATATCACAATATAGTTATTTTTGATATATATTTTTTTGTCAATAAAAATAAAAACAAAGAAGCAATTTACAAACAATAGGATAAATACAATAGAAAAAATATGTTATTTAATATGTAGTAAGAAATACTGCAGAAATTGAATAATCAAATATAAAAATAAAAAGCTGCATAGTCTTCAGTGTATGAATTACATATACATTTATTCTTATTAAATTTGCAATAGTTAATTTGTCAAGAGCAGTACGTTTTCTTTTCTTCCTTTTTTTCTTTTGTTGTTTGATGTTCCACTAACCTCTGCGCAGCAGTAACCGAAAGACTCTAGACAATGCCTTTGAATATGATTTAATCACGGCCGGGAGGACTGTGTAACAAAAAGAATATAACAGTTTATAGAGCATAGGTGCATGGCAAAGATGACACAATTCATTACATCATTTTTCTCTAATATAATTGGTTCTTCTTATGTGCAATTCTGCAAACCTCCCCTCTGTTACTGGCATAACACATTTGTTTTTTTGATAACTTCAGCTTGTTACTCAAGTCATGGGTTGTTATGGTTATTTTTATATTCAGACATACGTCTAGCCATCTTGTCCATATGCATCCATTATTGCAACACACTAACTAAAGTGTTGATACATTTTGTTCTCAAAAACATACAAATGGTAGGCCTGCACGGTAGAGGAGTTTTAGTTGTGATTAATTTAAAATGATTAATTTAAAACAATTTCCTTCACCACACTTAATAAACCCTACTTATATGAGCCTTCCCCCCCCCCCCCCCCCCCCCCCCGCTTGTGTGT